AAAAAAGGGAATACCAAGAACCTTTCAGGGGTCCATGAAATCAAAACTGTTTTCACGATAAGTAAGATGTTGTTCGTCTTTTTCACTGTGTTAACTTATGTACTGATGGGGCAAAAGCAGTAAGAAGGAACATGCTGGCACCTTAGTATGAATCAAGACAGGGGCACCAGACTCTGTGAGTAGCCATTGTATGCTCCACAACCACGAACTCACATCAAAAATATAAATAAATAGTAAATAGTAAATAAAATAATAATAAAAATAATAACTAAATAGTCTGTTTTTTAAAAGATTTTATTTATTTATTTGAGAGAGAGAGAGAGCATGAGTGGGGAGGACAGGGGAGAAGCAGGCTCCCCGCTGAGCAGGGAGCCCAATGCGGGGCTCGATCCCAGGACCCTGGGATCATGACCTGAGCCGAAGGCAGACACTTAACCAACTGAGCCACTCAGGTGCCCCTCTAGAGAACATTCTTGTTAATAATTCTGTATTATGAAATGGGAAGTACACATAAAGCTCTTCTGCTGTTTATGAAAGTATGATGGTTGTCTTGAAAAAAAGCATGTGGGCGAGTTGGAGGTTAAACCTGCCACCTTTTTTTACTGAACAGAACATCATTAAAAGAACACTGATAGGCAAACTATAACTATTCAGACTTGGCAAATATTTTCTTGAAAATGAACAAAGTAATTTGCTACTTCAGAGAAAACAACTGAAATATTCGCTGGCAATAATTAACTTTGATTTTGAAGGAAGCACGAAATTTTGGGAAATTGGTGTCTATCAGCATGAACTTGATGCTTCCCAATAGTTCAAACATTTTTTTAATTATTGACATATAATGTATTATTTGTTTCAGGGGTACAGGTCTGTGATTCAGTAGTCTTACACAACACCCAGCACTCACCGCAACACATACCCTCCCCAATGTCCATCACCCAGCCACCCTATCCCTCCTACCCTGCTCCACTCCAGCAACCCTCAGTTTGTTTCCTGAGATTAAGAGTCTCTTATTGTTTGTCTTCCTCTGGTTTTGTCTTGTTTCATTTTTCCTTCCCTTCCCCTAGGATCCTCCGTCTTGTTTCTCAAATTCCTCATATCAGTGAGATCATTTGATACTTGTCTTTCTCTGATTACCTCATTTCGCTTAGCATAATACCCTCTAGTTCCATCCACGTCGTTGCAAATGGCAAGATTTCATTTTTTGATGGCTGCGTAATATTCTATCATATATAAATACACCACATCTTCTTTATCCATTCATCTGTTGATGGACATTTAGGCTCTTTCCACAGTTTGGCTATTGTAGACATTGCTGCTATAAACATTGGGGTGCACGTACCCCTTCGGATCCCTACATTTGTATCTTTGGGGTAAATACCCAGTAGTGCAATTGCTGGATCGTAGGGTAGCTCTAATTTCAACTGTTTGAGGAACCTCCATACTGTTTTCCAGAGTGGTTGCACCAGCTTGCATTCCCACCAACAGTGTAGGAGGGTTCCCCTTTCTCCGCATCCCTGCCAACATCTGTCGTTTCCTGACTTGTTAATTTTAGCCATTCTGACGGGTGTGAGGTGGTATCTCATTGAAGTTTTGATTTGGATTTCCCTGATGCCAAGCGATGTTGAACACTTTTTCATGTGTCTGTTGGCCATTTGGATGTCTTCTTTGCAGAAATGTCTGCTCATGTCTTCTGCCCATTTCTTGATTGGATCATTTGTTCTTTGGGTGTTGAGTTTGATAAGTTCTTGATACTAGCCCTTTATCTGATATGTCATTTGCAAATATTTTCTCCCATTCTGTCAGTTGTCTTTTAGTTTTGTTGATGGTTTCCTTTGCTGTGCAAAAGCTTTTTATCTCGATGAAGTCCCAGTAATTCATTTTTGCCCTTGCTTCCCTTGCCTTTGGTGATGTTTCTAGGAAGAAGTTGCTGCAGCTGAGGTCGAAGAGGTTGCTGACTGTGTTCTCCTCTAGGATTTTGATGGATTCCTCTCTCACATTTAGGTCTTTCATCCATTTGGAGTCTATTTTTGTGTGTGGTGTAAGGAAATGGTCCAGTTTCATTCTTCTTCATATGGCTGTCCAATTTTCCCACATTTTAATGAGATTGTGGTGATAAGTAAAACTATGCCACTCTTTTTAACTAATTTTTTGAAAATATAGTTATTGTTCATAAATGTTATTTATGTTAACATGCTACAGTTTATTGTTGTTATTTTTCAAAAAGTTAGTAAATTAAAACACAGGCTTTCGGTAGGATAAATACTGCATGATTCCATTTTTATGAAGTATCTAAAATTGTCAAAGTGAAGAACAGAATGGTATTTCTGGAGTCTAGGAGCAGGGGAAATGGGGAGTTGCTATTCAACTGGTATAAAGTTCCATGTATGAAAGATGATTAAGTTCTATAGATTTGCTCTATAACTTTGTGCCTATAGTTAACCATATTATCCTGTACACTTAAAATTTTGTTAAAAGGGTAGATCTCGTGTTAAGTGTACTTGCCATAGTAAAAAGGGAAAAGAAAAATAAAAAGGAAAAAGCAAAAGACCAGAGTCAAAGTCACTTGTAAACTTTGGGAAATTTATTTAATCTCTGTGGGGTTCAATTTCCTTATCTGCACATTAAGAAAAATATCAACAAATCTTATAGGCTTGTTGTGACTATTAAATAAAAGGAGGTAAAATATTTAAAGAACACGGTATAGTTACAAGCATATAAATGGTACATTATAATAGTGTCATTATTTAAATATTCCTTCTTTTCAAGATTCTTTAAGTTTTGCTCCAGCATTATGTCAAACATTGGAAACAAAGTGTCTGCACTATAATATTTTAGAAATGGCTTTTCTATGTTACAATACATTGCAATATGCTTCCTTAAACTTTATAGAGATTATTTACCTGATATGTGCTAGGGACAAATGAAAAGGACAAAGTAATGTCTAATATGTGTAACTGAATTCATTTAACACCATTCTAAATCTCAAAATATAGGAGGATAAAATTTAAAACCTTTACTAATCAAGTATTAAATCCCTAATGCAGATGCAGGCAATCATTCATTCATTCATTCATTCATTCACTTCTTTATAATAAATTCACTGAGGTCATACTTTGAGTCAGGCACTGCTAGGTACTACTAATCCAAAGGTGGGCAATACAATTTGCCTCCAAATTATTTATGATTGCTGAGTGAGAACCACAAATTCAGACAAGCCAATGGAGTGTTATAGGAACCAGGTAGAAAAGTCTAGAGTGGAAAGAGGGAGTACTAAGGATAGTAAGTTATTTTGCCTGTGGGAGATGAATGGCAGTCAGAGGAGGTTTTCTAGGAGGTGATGGGCTAAATCTGAAAATATATATGTATTTGCCCGGTGGATTTTGGCAGTGGGGGTTGAGGAGATCATTCTAGGGAAAGAGGACAACGTAAGCAAAGTCACAAAGTTGTGAAATAGCATGACATACTTTAGGATATGCTGTTATGTTGCACGTGAGTGGAAGAGGATTTATTTATTTATTTATTTTAAAGATTTTATTTACTTATTTGACAGAGAGAGACACAGCAAGAGAGGGAACACAAGCAGGGGGAGTGGGAGAGGGAGAAGGAGGCTTCCCGCCGAGCAGGGAGCCCGATGCGGGGCTCGCTCCCAGGACCCTGGGATCATGACCTGAGCCGAAGGCAGACGCTTAATGACTGAGCCAACCAGGCACCCCGTGGAAGAGGATTTAAAGATAGGTGGTAAGATATAAGCTATGACTAGGGGGACTTCGGTGGCTCAGTCGGTTAAGAGTCTGACTTCGGCTCAGGTTGTGATCTCGGGGTCTTGGGATCAAGCCCTGTGTTGGGCTCCCTGCTCAGTGGGGAGTCTGCTTCTCCCTCTGCCTGCCGCTCCCTCTGCTCATGCTCTCTCTCTCTCTCAAATAAAGAAAATCTTAAAAAATAAAAAAGATATAAGCTATGACTAGAACAGGGAGAGCCCTATATATTTCCCTATAAGTGAGCCACTAAAAGACAAAATAAAGATCCATATCTACTCTCTTGCTCCATTCAAGTCCATCTAAGATATATTTCCAGGAATAGTACTGCAGATTTCAAAAGTGATTTTTAGATGAAATTTTAAAAGCTCTCTAAAAGTACTTAAAAAAATCTGATACCTACTTCAAAAGACGCTTGAGTGTGGTGGGGAGATTTCCAAACACTGGATTGGAATTTATCTTTGTGACTCTCAGTCCTTTTGCTGGCAGTCCCATGATGAACATCTGCTTGAATCATTTTAGCTCTTACAAAATTGTGCTGATCCGCAGAAAGAAACACATATTGTTGGTTCAGTTCCAACATGTAGTTTCTTCCTAAGGTTTTGAAAAAAGAACAAAAAAAGTTATTAAATTGACGTGGTACTTAAGAGACTTAAAAATATCAATGAAAAGATGTCTAGGGTTGAGCATTTGGAAATATTAATAAATTCCATGCACAGTGGGAATAACAATGATAGTAGTGATGATGGGGCCCTAATATAATTTCTGAAAACTTTTCTTGGTCATATTTTCCATTGAACAAGAGGCTGATCTTTACAGCAAACAAAAGAAAGCAACCACAAAAACATCAATAAAACAAACTTTAGAAAAAGATATAACTGTATTATCCTTACACATGAAAAGGTTTGTGAAGGCATCAATGAAGTACAGTAAGTTGAGCTGAGTATACGTAGCAAGAGAGCTCAATTACACATGGCAAACACTGTAAAGAAGAAAAGGAAAAGACAAGCTGATATAAGATGCCATGTTCCAACACCTTGAAGCTCTTCCTTTAGATCCTATATTCCTCTATCAGTGGCCTACTGAGGTTAAGAATCAGAAACATCAGTGCTTCTTATTGTGGGGGAAAAATACCTATGAGGATATTGAATACCTAAGTAGAATGGTATCTGAACTATATAAATTATAGGTGGGCATGCTTGTCACTTCAAAAGTAAATAGATGTTCATCCATTTATTTATAGTAATTAGTGAAGAATTAACTCAAGGTTAAACAAATTGACCAATGAAATAGAATAAGGAGTTCAGAATCAGATCCATGTGTAACTGGAAACTTTATTTATGACAGAGTTACTCTTGCAGATAACTATAGATAGAAAGGGCTTTCAAAATAAATTAGGTTGGAATAACTGATTATGCAAATGAAAAATATTGAAAATGAAAAGCTACCTTATGTAATAATGTATTAATTGTCTATTACTGTGTTACAAAGTAGCCGCAAATGTAGGGATCCAAACAATAATAAATACTGATTTCACACAGTTTATATAGGTCAGAAATTCAGGAGCAGCTTATTTGGTGATTCTGCCTCAGAGTCTCTCATAAGGTTGCAGTCAAAATGTTAGCCAAGTGTTATAGCTTTCTGAAAGCATGACTGAGACAGGAGAATCCGCTTCTAGGACGCTTATTCATATGGCTGTTATCAACCAGTTTCTCACTGGCTCTCGGCCAGAGGGTTCAGGTTCTAACTACACAGACTACTTTATAGGGCTGTTTGAGTGTTCTCACAAGACGGCAGCTGGCTTCTCCCATAGTTAGTGATACAAGAGGGAGAGAGCAAAATGGAAACAACAATGCTTTTTATTACCTAGACTCAGCAGTCAAATACCATCATTTCTTTTTTAAAAAAATTATTTATTCATTTGAGAGCAAGCGAGTGAGAGAGAGCGCAGGGGGAGGGGCAGAGGAAGAGGGATAAGCAGACTCCCCGCTGAGCAGGGGTTCAATCCCAGGACCCCAGGATCATGACCTGAACCGAAGGGAGATGCTTAATTGACTGAGCCACCCAGGTGCCCCCAAATACCATCATTTCTGTGTGTCCTATTTATTATCCAGGTTAGCCTTATTCAATGTTGGGAGATAACACACAAGGGTATGAATAAAAGGCAGGGATTTTTGGAGATGGTCCTGGAAACTGCCTACCCCATAAACAAAAATAAATTATAGGTGGATGGAGAATTCTATACTTTTATAGAACAATCTATGAAAATATCTTTATGATCTCAAAGCAAAGATTTCTCAACAAGGAGCAAAATGCTCAAATTATAGAGGACAAATTGATTAATTCAACTACATTAAAAATAAGACTTCTATATAGCAAAGGACAGCATATAGAAAGTGAAAACCAATCATAAATAGAAGGTATTGCAGCAAATTTACTTCAAACATGTTAATATTTAGAATATATAAAGAACTTCAAACCAATACTAAAAAGATAAAGAACTCAAAAGAAAAATGAACAAAATATTTGAGCAAGCTCCTCACTGAAGAAAGAATGCCCTATAAACATGAAAAGATGGTCAACTTCATTAGTAATAAAGATAATGCAAATTATAGCCAAAGTGTGATACAATCCATTTGATTGCACATCCATTTGATTTGCAAAAACTAAAAAACTTGAGAATATCAACTCATGATGATGTGGAGCTATGGAAACTTTTACACGTGGCTGGCAGATGTGTAAAGGGTAGAACCATTTTGGATCACAATTTGGCATTACGTAGTATAGTTGAGGATGTGCTTACCCAGTGACCCAGTAATTCCTCTTCTGAAGAAAATCATATATATATATACACATATATACATATATATGTGTATATATGTGTCTATATACACATATATATACATATATATGTGTATATATGTGTCTATAGACACATATATATACATGTGAATATATATATACACACACACACATTAAAAAACATGCACAAGTATATTTGTAGAATCACTAATAGCAAAGAACTGGAAACAGTTCAAATGGCCAACAGTAGAATGGATAAATAAATTATAGGATATTTATACTACTAAACAGCTGTGGGAGTGTGGGTGTAAAGCTGAAGGGAGTTTAAAAAAAAACAGAGAGACACTAGACACTATATCATATTTAAATACCCATCAGTAAGGAGGGGAAGGTTGGTGACATAAAGAGACAGGTAGACCCTTCCATTTCTTCATTTTACATGATGGGGGAGGTAAAAGTGGGTGCATATTTATTTTAAAAATATTTATTGGTTACCTACCTTCTGCCAGACCCTGTTTTTGATTACAAGGGATGCAGATAGATTTGAAAATTGGGTGATAGGAATTTGACAGAATCCTTCTGAGGTAGGTGGTAAAGTCATCTGGTGAGAGTCAGTAATATTGTTACATGTGTATCTGATGAAGAATATTGGTGTTTAATGCCACAAGTGCCCAGAATGTAATGCCCCATCAGAAGCAAACTGATCAATGAGAGACAGGCAGTGGAAAGGATCCTGCAGATATATTTGCCCCTGCCATCCCCTGGCTATTTGGAGATGCAAAAAGTCCATGTGTCCTGTGATACTTCAGTTGTGTTTCCTTGTAAGACTACAGCCAGGTCAGTAATGCACCCCTTTATGTTTTCCTTTCTTCCCTCCCTGCTTCATTTTTTTTTTTTTTGTGATGTAGTGTTCCATGAATCATTGTTTGTGCATAACACCCAGTGCTCCACAGAACGTGCCCTCTTTAATACCCATCACCAGGCCAACCCATCCCCCTCATTTTCTTTTTACCTCTTTCTTGCTTCCCTGGGATTTGACTTCTTGATAAAACAACCCAGCTTTATTTATGCTCTGTTCTTTTAGGGTACTCAGGGGAAGACAAAATAAATTATTTCTTGCTGAATGTGGAGGTCTCAGGAGCAATTCAGGAAGGGGAGGAAAGGGAAGAGATGAGACAGAAGTGAGAGGATAAGAAAGGAGCCAAATGGATAGTATGAAGCCGGGTTTTTAAAAATTTTTTGCAGTGAGGTAGCAGTGAAAAATCCCCAGCAGTAGATAAGATGTCTGACGTATTTTTACTAACCAGGATGTCTATTATTAGATATAAGATGATGATCTTTCCTTAATGTAAAGTCTCTCCTACCCTCTCATTCCCCCAAATTTAGTAAATTATACCACACATACATACATGTTTTATTAATTTTCTTATTTTGTGGCACCATAATAAATGACTGAGTTTCATGTCTGGGTTAACACGACCTGTAACAGAAGTGGTATTATCAGGTGGAAAGGTTATCCATCAGCTAAGCTAATTCAAACAGCAAAAAGTTAGAAGCCAGAAGGACCAAGAAAATGTTAGACCTAGGTAATTTCCAGAAAATTGGAGAAAAGTTTTATACTGATACAGGCATGGAATGGGATGATGGAGGAAATTTGATTCAGACATTAGGGGGACTGGAGATCCTGCATGTCACCTGGGCTACATATAAAACACGTACTTTGTCAAGCAGTGTTCCTCATCAGAGGCTACTGCTGCAATGATACTGATTTTTAAGATGTTGTTATAAATAAATAAATAAATATTTATATGCAGAAGTCTTTTTTTGGAAAAAATGATATATTTATTTCTTTAATCAATAAGGATTTATGAGACTCTACTGAGGTTAGAATTGAATTATAGATGCTTCTTCCAGATATGAGGTTTTGTTGCTTTTACTGTTGATATTTGGGAACTGCCATTTGAGACAATTTATTCAGTTCTGTGCAGCTGTATTGGGATGCCATAGCTGTTCACAAAAATCTTTATTTTCATAAGGCAGTAGTCAGTGGTGTTCATGCTAATTTTTTATAGCTAGTATGACTATTTTAAATAGAGCAAAAAAAAGCACTATGTCTACTAAAAAGACTATACTGTAAAAGTTGAAAGTTATTTCTTCTTGTTCTGGTAGATATTTCCACTTCCTAATTTATTAAATAAGCAATCATTTCCAAGAATACAATCATATACATTTATTATGTATAGAAAAGGATGACAAAAATCTTCCTAAAACCTTTCATAAGTCACACATCATGCATGTCAATGAAGCTCACAGATACCTGACATTTCCTAAATCAAAGTGACAGTTGACACTGCCTGTCATCTTTAGCATGATTCAAAATAGCTCATATAAAAGTGAATTATGAGCAATGCACTACGGCTATACATATTCCTCTTACAAATAATTTATGTGAAACAAATATAGCTCATTTTTAATGGGTTGGTTTTTTTTTTTGGTTTTCTTTTTTTAAAATTTAATTTAATTTTATTATGTTATGTTAGTCACCATACAGTACATCATTAGTTTTTGATGTAGTGATCCATGATTTATTGTTTTCATATAACACCCAGTGCTCCATGCAATATGTGCCATCCTTAATATCCATCACTGGGCTAACCCACCCCCCCCATTTTTAATGTTTTGATTGACTAAAGATTTCTTAGTTACACTGCAATGAACTAAGGTCATAGACTCATGCAAATCAAATGGCAGTTTAAGTTTTTATATTCATCTAGAAATTTATGTGATTAAGCAATGTGATTTACTCCTATCAGTAGGTAGGAAAACATCTTTCCATTTTTCACTAAGAGTATAGCAGTATTACTTAACTTAAAAAAAACCACCTTTTGTAAAATGCTATTTGATAAAATAGGGACCCTATAATTTCCTTTAATGTTATTTAGCAAGCAAACAGTTCAGTGAGATGGGTAGGGATATGGAATCTGGAATCAGACACACTTGTTTTTGAATACTAAGCACTAATTAGATTTGTGAGCTTATACCTCCATATTTGAGTTCCTCATTTTTAAAATGCAGACACTAAGAGTAGCTATACTGCAAAGTATTATTATGGCAAATAAATGTTATAATACTTTTATAGTGATTAGCATTTTGCCTGGAACATGGAACACGTCTATTATTTTCATCATCAGTATTAACTTTCAAAGAAAATTGAATATATTGATCAAAAGTCATTACAATTCTAATATGATTTTTTCGAACTGCATATTCTCCTATGACACTCTTGGAGTTCTCCCTACCCATACTCTGTATCTCATCCTCCCACCCCAAAAATCTTTGGGCTATATCTTAATATATTAAATCACACCCTGAAAAATCATTCTTTTATGATATGATGATCTGAAAATTGTTTTTCTAAAACTTATTCCTTTACATGGTGTGTACAGATGAAACTTTGTTTAATCCTGAAACTTGCTGACCGTGAACTGATAATCAGAATGCCACTAAACTCTTTGTATACTAACCCTTGAAACTGGAATATACACTTCAACACCTAAATATGATATAACAAACCAGCACTGGCTGGTATTTCACGGCACATATAATCACAATATCAGACCATTCCACTTAAAAAGAAAAAAAAAATTACTGTTCTATTCTTCCAAATGGGCTGTATCAATTAAGACTGTGTTCAACTTTACATAACAGACTACAGTAGCTTACCTACTATGAGCTCACTTGCCCCCTGTAACAAGAATTCTGGAGGTAGTCAGTCTCAAGTTGGTGCAGTTGCTTAAAGAACTCATTAGACCAATTCCTTCTATCTTCCAGTTCTGCCATCTTTACTGTATGGCTCTTATCCTCTTGACCATAGGTGACTTCTCCACCTCCAGATGTCATGTGCATGTCTCAGATGGGAGGAAGAGAGTAGAATGAAGAACAAAGACATATTTTATTGGGAAAACAATAGCTTTCCTGCATGCTGCACCTAGGAAGCTTCCTTTCATATGCCATACATCTAAATTACATGGGAGCAACTCTAGCTTATAGACAGTCTGGAGAGGAGAATTTTTTAATTGGATACAGTGCTACCTTTAAATTTTAGGAATAAAGAAGAGATGAATAAATATGAAGTATACAATAAACAGTGTCTGCTACATGGGTCAAAAGCTTTTAGTTGATTTACAGAAAATGATAGAGCAACATGATTATGCCACCAAAGTATAGAGGCAGTGGCTTAATAGGGAATTTTATTTAGTAACATAAATTACTATAAGTTACAAAAAATAATCAGTTAATAAGAGGAAGTAAAGTTCAGGATTAAAAAAAAAAATTCTCACAGAAGGCTAGAATAAATCCTTTTGTACCGGATTGGTGTCAGAGACTTCAGTATGAATTCCTACCTAACTGTCCGTCTACCTATTCATCCAACCATCCATCCATCCATCCATTCATGAAGCATCTATCTATAGCTGGAGAGATACAGAAATAATTATAGATAAATGTGTATACATAGGTTAATATACATACATGTTTCCTAGTTCTTTTTTTTTAAAGATTTTATTTATTTATTTGACAGAGAGAGAGACAGAGAGAGAAGGAACACAGGCAGGGGGAGTGGGAGAGGAAGAAGCAGGCTTCCCACCGAGCAGAGAGCCTGATATGGGGCTCGATCCCAGGACCCCGGTATCATGACCTGAGCCGAAGGCAGACCCTTAACTACTGAGCCACCCAGGTGCCCCCACGTTTCCTAGTTCTATCTGCTAAGAGGGCTGAGAAGCAGTGACACCAGTAGCAATAAGCACACCAAGGGTGGAGATCTTGGTTTCTAAATACCATTTGCCAATAATAGCAATGGGAGCTTCTTGGAAAAATGGTTGATTTTAGGGCTGGGTCAGGGTAAATATTAGAGGAACCTAGAGCATCTTGCAATACCAAAAAGTAAGGAAGTGCTTAAGAAAACAAAAGAATGGGGGCATGTCAAAAGGTCACAGGAACAAAAAAGAGATGCTGGTGGCAAAGGCCGGAATGATTCGGGTATCAAAATAAAGTAGTATTGGAATATAACACAAAGTATGAAATATACACAGGTCCATACTGATATAAAGAAATCGCTGAATAAACAAACAGATGAGGGAAAAAAGATACATTGTCCTTATGGAAAATTCCAAATAACATGTGCAGATGCTGCCCCCTCCAGAAGGTGGAGCTTAATTCTTCAATCCTCCTCCACCTTCAGTATGGGCTGGACTTAGAGATCCCCTTCCAAGGAGTAGTAAAAAGAAAAAAATGGATAAAATAGCAACTTCACGGTGGAAAATGTGGCAAGCACTATTTTAACCTAGTGATTGGGGTCACATTAGAAGTGATATCATGCACCTCTGATATGATGTGATGAAGGGGATACTCTTAAATTTTTAGTATTCTATACAAAAACCTCCAGTCTAGTCATAAGAAAAACATCAGACAAAACCAAATCTGGGGACAACTTACAAAATTCATATTCCTCAAAACTGTCAGGGTCATGAGAAACAGGGAAAGTCTGGTAAACTGTCACAGATCAGAGGAGACTAAGGAGACATGATGACTAAATGCAATGTGATTTCCTGGATGGGAATCTGGGATAGAGAAAAACATTAGTAGCAAAATGGAATACATTTTGGAGTTAATAGTGATGTATCAATATTAGTTTCTAAATATTGATACATGTAACATGTTAGTGTAAGATGGTAACATAAGGGGAAACTGGGTGAAGGGTATATGGAGAGTCTCTATACTACCTTTGGAATTTTCTGTAAATCTAAATCATTGCAAAGAAGTTTTTAAAAAATCCCCACATAGTTACAATTGAAAATGATACTAGACTGTTAAAGAGATATTGTAATGACATCGTGAACTTAGAACAAATGGTCTCAAAATCATCTCCATCTACCATTTGTAGATGGATAACTACAAATTGCTTAAGCTACTTACAGTTACTTCATTAATACTAGACTGGTTCAGGTTCTAGATCCTAAGGAAACAGAAGCTCAAGTGTAGAAAGTGTTTCTAATGAGATTTCTGGAAAGCTAATCTTTACAAGGTCAAGTGAGACAGTGTTTCTAATGAGATCTCTGGAGAACTCCAACCTTTACAAGGTCAAGTGAAAGCCATCAGTAGGTACAATTAATCATTCTATTGTCTTCTTCAATTTAAGATATTTGTTGTTAGGAACCTAGGTTTACAAAATAATTTTTTAAATCAAATTCTTTAAGTTATTTTCCCCCACAAAATCATAGAATCACCTTGAAAAATCTCAACGAAAATATTGCCTCTACTTAAGAATACACATTTTTAGAGCAGCAACACTGGCAATCAGCTAAGATTAGTGTAGAAAATCAGTATGTCAGAATTTTAATCTTGCTTTCCCCCTCATTTTTACAATGACCTTAGAAACTTATTTAACATGTTCCTTGGCCACCAAATGAGGTTAATGAAATTCTGTAGGTTAAAAAAAAGAAATAATGATGTCATCATAAAAAAAAAACTTAAAGTGTTAAATAAAAATATCTACTGTGGAAGGACGTTTTACCACTTTGTGATAATGAAAGAGATATTTATTTTCTCCAGTTTCCTATTTATTAACAACAAAATTAGATGTAACAACAACAGTCATTCTTGCTGAGAAACAGAACCAAATGCGGTAATGAATGAAATAAAGTTAATCTTCAAAAACATACCCCCCAAAAAAAACACATTCAAAATATTTTTTTTCTTCTAAAGAAGCTTCTTCCAGGAACCCAATATGAATTTAAATACCCTAGGTTGCGATTAGCATAAGAACCATTGAGCTTCAACCTTTAAAACTTTCAAGAAATTCAATTGTCAATTGACTGTCAACAAAGACATTGAGAGAAAGAATCTCTCCAAAGTATATCAACATCCTTATTTTGGTCTCTGATTTTGAATTAACTTTGGGGAGGTGTTTGAGTTCTTCTGCCCTCAAGATATGTAAGGGTGGGGTTACATGCAAGAACTAGAATGTATAATTCAAAAGGGTTTAGGAGGGACATCAGGCTTATTCATTATATATTTTGCCACCTCACAGAGGTCCACATGGGGGCACTCTTTTGCTGAGATTTTTCTACACATTTTAAGGCTAAAACAGATTTTATGATAAAGAAATTTGTTAACACATATATATTTCATTTCCCACGTTTATTTCAATTTCATCATCCTAATCAATCTCTTCTTTTGCCATCTTTCTGCAGGTGATTTTTTTTACTGTGGTAAAATAGACATAAGATTTGTCATTTTAAAGTGTACAGTTCTCAAAAAAATGAAGTGTATAGTTCTGCAGTATTAAGTATATTCACATTGTTGTACAACCATCATCATCATCCAACTCCAAAACTTTTTCATCTTCCCAAACTGAAGCTCTGTACCCATTAAACAGCTCCATATCCCCTTCTCGACAACCTCTGGCAACCACCAGACTTTGTGTCTCTATGAATTTGATTACTCAGGTACCTCATTCAAGTAGAATTATACAGTATTTGTCTTTTTGTGACTCATTTATTTCACTTGGCATAATTCTTCAAAGTTCATTCATGTTGTTCTAGATGATTCCTAAGATGATCTTTCTCTAACCTCACTAAGTACCCAAAACTTTAGAAAAAAAACTAAGTTAAATGAGGCTCAAATTATTGGCACTTCTATATTTGTGCTAGAACTGTATTGATCTGTTATCCATTTTTTTTTTCTCCATCTGTCCACAACCCTCAACTTCCTAACTCACCATTATTTGGTGAGTCAAATTCACAACCATTATCTTTACTAATTTCATCGCAGAAATGTATGCCTTACTGTGAGCTTCAATTCTCATTTAAAGGATTTATCATTCTACATTTGCAGTTGAACATAGGTTGGGCTCAACATGAGGCTTGATTCCAGGACCTCGAGATCATGACCTGAGCTGAAGGCTGCTGCTTAACCAAGTGAGCCACTCAGGTGCCCCCAAAATGTCAGTTTCATCACACAGGCAAGAGAAGAAAAGTGTCAACTGGGAAAATTTTAACCGGCTTAATGAACTCTGAGACTAGATGATCTTCATTATTATCATTTTCCCTTTCTGCATTGATGTTTCCAAAAACAAAACATGCACATAAATAATCAAACAGAAAGACCCACAGTGTCTTTTCGGGATCTGATGTACCATTAAGAAAATGAAAGAAATATTTTTGGAGTAGCAGATTATAATATTGTAATGAAACCGGCCTGAAAATACCATAGCAGTCTCCTTATAAGAGCCAGAGAAATTACTCCAGAAATAGGAAAGATCTGAAAGCTCTAGGTAGATGCCCCAGTTGCTTGGTCCAGCCACACTGGAGGAGGTCATCAGAGGATGTGACCACTGATTGACCTCTGAGCTGAACTCCAGCAATCAGAGGCTACTTACACCCTTTCTCTGTCCTTAAAGTGTATGTTCTGCCCACTGTTCTTGAGTTAGGAGCCACGTGAAGAACACAGCTGTGAGAGAGCAAAGTGTTGTTGAGACCCTCTGGACTGAGCCCAGGTAAGGCCTATATAAATTTTCACGGGTTTGGTGGGGTGCGAAGATCTGCTTGTTCTGAAGTCATGAAGACCAGCCTCATGTGTAAGTTCCCTTGCTTATTAAAACTGCCACCTACCAATCTGGAGTGGCCTGCCTCTTTCTTCGGTCTCTTTCTGTCCTCTGTGTATGGGGGTCAGTCTCAGATTTTCTCTTGGGGAACTTGGGTTGCCAACAACAAGCCACTTCCAATGGCTTCTGCTTTTACGGATGTGGTAAAAATGACACTTGGAAATTGTTTGAGAAAACATACCTGGTTCCAGAGAAGCAAGGTAAACGAGTTTGTGGTCTCTTGAAATTGTATGCTAATACTTACTGATCTTTGAAGTTAGAGAAGGAATGGGTGTCCCCAAAGAAAAGACAATTGTAGAAGAAGAAAGTGTTCAAAATTCAGTTATATCATCAATAGGCATGGAGAGGCCTAAGAGTAATATTCCAAATGATTTTTTCCCAAAGAATCTATTTAAAGGAGGGAGCTGTATAG